GACCAACCTGAAGCCATCGTCTTTTCTTCCAACTCCTACGTAACGGAGACGATGAACACAGGCAGCGTTGGAGGGACGTCTTCTTGTTTCTTCACGTTTCCATCGAGTCGTCGTTGTTCCGTCTTTGAGGCTCAGCGAGTCCGTCTTTCCTTCGGCAACTTCCTGAGAACTCCACAGTTTTAAAGTCAACATGGCAGTGAAGCAGGAATCTCTGCGGCGCCCTCCGTTCCACCCGTCAGGCGTAGAAGATGAGCTCGGGGATCTGGCCTCCCTGCACGCCAGTGCCGTTGGTGCTGTCGGAGGAGCACTGGAACTGGAAGGTCACTTTCCCACACTGCACCTCGGTCATGCCCTCCTGGCCGAAGTAGCTCAGCTCGTTGCCGTCCAGCACCACGCTGGCGGTGTAGAAAGTGTCCGGCTCGATCTGCACCGGGTACTCGAACGACACGGGGAAGGTGCTGCTCGAGCCGTCGGAGAAGTACTTGATGATGCGCTGGGCCATCGGTACGCCCTGGCGCTTCAGCTCGATCTTGGCGTTATATTCGGCCGAGCCGCAGCTGGAGCCGTACAGGCCGAAGCCGGCGATGAAGACGCGCTTGTCGACCGCGAACTGGATGCTGTCGCAGCGACCTCGGTACCGCCACTGGTTGCTCCTGTAAGCGCAAGACTGGAAGCGGTGGCAGCGTTGCGGCGACAGGCCTTTACGCGGTTTGGTGCAGAACAGCAGATCGGGCTTGTTGGCGGCGGTGTACCACAGGAAGATGTCATTGGTCTCGTTGAGCGTGAGCACGCCAGACTGCGCCGCACCGTTGGCAAAGTCCTCCAGCGCCATGGCGGGGACGCGGATCAGGTAGATGGCCTTACCCAGCACCAGGCGCTTGTTCTCGATGGTTGGCGGCAAATCCTGCCTCTGACACTCGGCCTCGGCCCAGTTCAGCGCCGCCTCGAACACCACCATCTCTTTGGCGTTGAGCGTTTCCCGCCGCAGGATGCTCTCCAGCGTCTGGACGTCGATGTCGCAAAAACCCTCAGAGCGCAGCGCGAGCTCGGCCTGCGCGTCGATCACCTCCCAGCAGCGCTGCGTCAGGTCGGGTTCCTCGAACAAGCAGCTCTGCGACAGCAGCACGCAGGCGTTCTTTGCACTCAGGCTGGTCTCCAGGAAGTTGACGCAGGCTCGTGCCAGATGAGGTACGATGTACTTCTTGGCAGCATAGAGTGTGGCGAGCACCGTGTCGGCGCAAAGGTCGATCTCATCGCAGTAGATGTACCTGCGGAAGCAAAGGCACGGTTGTGGGTGAGCGGTCAGGTGTTTGTGTAACGAGGTAAACAAAATCAAAGGTTGACGCACTTCAACATGGCGAGGAAGGACGGTGGTTCTACGTCGGGGATGCGGATCTCGTCCTGATCCTCGGCCAGCTCGCCGTAGAACATGGCGTGGAAGACGGAGCTGCCGACAGCCAGGACGTACTGCCAGAACAGAGAACGATGTCAGAGTCGAGAGTTACACTTTGAACACAACGACGCCCTGAGATTATCAAAGCTCAAAGAACAGGAGAACCACAACTGCATTTTATATCCTTTCACAACACTCGTGGTTACTTTAATTACCAATAAAAACAATATTATAAACTTCCAGGAATAACAAAAAACATGATGCTGATGTGCTGAGATTTAAACTGAGTCTAGCTGACGGGGGTGAAGTGGTGGCGAGTTTCAGACACGAGGCGTGGAGCAGCTGAAGGCTTATGGCGAGTAAACACTGGAGCCAGTGATGCTAGATCTGGTTAAAGCGCAGAACTCAAAGCGCTTTATACAATATTCACCCTCCCCCCTCTTAAGTGCTTTCTAGCTAACATTTACACCCTGACGGATGCTTCGGGGAGAAACTTGGTATGTTGCCCACGGATACTTTAGCATGCAGTCAGAAATCAAACCAAACTTTAATTCATAGATGCCATGATCTCCGGCCACAGACGCAATGATCTCCGGCCACAGACGCAATGATCTCCGGCCACAGACGCAATGCTCTACATTCTGATTACAGACAAACTGTTCACTGAGTGATTTGACACAGCCTGGTGTTCACATGCAGATCACGGATCTGTTCTACGCTCTTTTACGGACTGTGGCATTGTATTTTTGATCCTTTTAGTTGTATGCTCATCTAATGGCTGAGCACTGATTACATACGACAGGCAAACACTTTTAAATTTAAGACTCTCCCATTCGTCTCGGGCTGATCCTTTGCTGGAATCTGGGCGACGCCAGCCCGCCCTGACCGGACCCTCCGACCGGCTTCTTCCACCTACCTCTTCCTAACCAAGAAACGCTACAGGAAACGCGGTAGAAGGAGTGGCCGTCGCGTTCGCCTCAGGGTCTACCTTAAAGCCAGAGCCACTGGCTACCCACATGCCAGCCTGGACATTTGATCTTCTTTCCCTCCTTGCAGGAGCGCTCTGATGCTAAGTTGCTCACCCACCGTTGGATCTGCTCGGCTGACCATGAAGCTTACCCTGGCCTTCCGGTGGCATGTTTTCCTGCTCGGGTTGGGATAACATCGCTCCGACGCGGATTTTGCTGAAGCAACCTAAGAGTCCTACGACGCACCACCCGTGGCGATTTAGCTCCTAGGATACGGATGGCATTGCTCAATGTCAGGTCGCTGGTCAATAAGACCTTTCTCTTAAACGACTTCCTCTCCACTAACGGGATTGATGCTTTATTCCTGACTGAAACCTGGATTCGTCCTGGTGAGTTCATCCTTTTTTCCGATCTCTTCCATCGGATTGTGTCGCTTTTAGCTCACCAAGGATTACTGGTAGGAGTGGCGGCGTAGCCTCGGAGATGACTGCATTCACGACCACACCCCGCGTGGTGGTTTACCGACCGCCTAAATATAGCCAATGTTTTATCACGGACTTTGCTGATCTCCTAGGTTCGGTTCTTTTTAAATATGGTTGTGTTCTCATGGTCGGTGATTTTATCATACACACTTGCTGTAAGCATGACCCCTTTGCTAAAGACTTCCTTGCTTTAACGGACTCTTAACCTGGTTCAGTGGGTTAATGACCCAACGCATGTTAAAGGACATACTTTGGACTTGGTTTTTCATATAGTCTGGACATTTGTGAATGAATATTTTGTCTTCTTTGCAGACATTCTTTCCTGAACCTCCTTGAAGCTGTTTGTTGTTATTGTGTTGCTGTGATATTCTGGTTTTATAGTCAGCTCCATGCGAACATGGTTTCTGCTAAACCGCGACAGCCTTTCATTAACTACTGATCGCTCCAGTGTTCAGAAATCAGCCGAGTCTTTAGCTAGAATCATGTGACCACAGATGTCCTTATTCAGCCTGCTCTGAGATCTTACTGAGACCAGTCTGTGCTCCTCACTGTATTTCTGACCTTCATGCGGTGATGTCCTAACGTTTGCAGAGACTCAGCTGAAAGCATTAGAGTTGATAAAGCTGCCTGAGGAGCGAGCTGGTTGTGCTGAGCAGAATCTTCTGGGCTCTGAAACTGTCGAGTGTTTGCGTTACCTTGTGTCCGGGCACCCGCTGCGTCCCCCCCGGTGGTCCCACGACAAAGTGAACATCTGCCATCATCTCATTGTTGAACATGACTGAATTCCTATAAGAACACAGCAGTTTTGAGGGTTCGCTTAATGAAAAGACACCAAAGCAGGAGCAACCTGTCAGACCTGCAAACTCATCTTTCAAATACAGAAATGCTGCATGTGTGTCTGAGAAAGCTGCATGATGATTGAGGGTGAACTAAACATCCAGGACCCGTTCTCGGGGCTCTCACATTCTTGCAGCCGAGCATTTTAAAGTAATTTTTAAAAAGTCTTTTGCTTTTTAAATTCCGCTGCTGGCTTTTTCGGAGAGAATTTTAATCCTTTCTCTCTAGTGCTGGATCTCGGCCTCCTCCACACACCCACCTCTCTCTGATGGTGGGGTACAGGCCCTGCCAGTTACAGCTGGTGATGCTGGTGTTGTTGTTGGTGAGGTTCTGCTGCTGGTACTGCTGCACGGAGGCGGCCGGGACCAGCTTCTTGGTGGGAAACAGCTCCGCAGCCATCGTCCTGCAGTCAGACCGCGGACCCGCTCATGGCAGCCCGGGGAGCCGGTGCCACTGGAGGCCGGAGAGGAGAAGAGGAGCGGAGCGCTGGGAAGAGAAACCAGAGTCTGCTTAAAACCCGCAGGATTGTAGCTGCGCGGAGCTAACATTAGCCCAGCCAAACACATCTCGATACTTTCACCAAGTGTTTCAATAAAAGCGACAACAAATGACAAATCTGCAGCAGTAAAACCCCGAACCGGTGTGAGCAGGCAGCCCGACCCCTGAGTCCAAAATAAAAACTCATCTTATAAACGTGTTCCGTTTGTGTTAGCAGGTCTATGCTAAGCTAACTGAGTTATTTGCCACTTTAAAAAGTTCATTTCGCTTCTAAACTTCAGCCGTTTGTTAAATCGGTGCGTTAACACTCACCGTAAAGCCGCACAGGTGTGCTTTCAATTATTTCCTCCTCATAAAACACGGTGTGTTGCTTTTTTGTGCGTTTGGCGGAGCAGCTCTTGTTTACCCGCAGGGGCCGCAGGCCTGTCAGCCAATCAGAGCGCAGCAGCGCCACACAGAGGCTTCTTCGTTTCCGTTTGGGAATCCAGCCTGAAGGCGAATCAGCGCCACCTGGCGGACCAGCGCTGCTTAAAAACCTGGTTTCTAAACCTTTAACAAGCAGGCTTAAAACTTAATATTTATTACATAAAATAATAAAAATAATTGATAGCCAGTCTAACTACAGAGTCTGGTCAATAATAATTATAGTGGTCGAGACTTAGATAAACAAGAAATCAACCAATAAGATAACAGAAAATCTTCTTAAAAAAACCAAACCTATGTGATAATCCGAGAGAAACTAAACTCACCGACTTCAAAGTGTCGTTTTCCCGTCTCTCGTTCCCGTCAACACTTAGAAAACAACAATGAAACCACGCAGGATGATATACAACATATTTCTTTATTGTTACTGATAAATCTGTCACTCTCCCACTCTGAAGGCAAAAAGACACAAAAAAGCCAAAAAACAAAACAGTGTGAACTGTATGTACAGCCCGAGCAGCTCCCGTCGTCCCTCCTGCAGTTTCACAATAAAACACATCCACAGTTTACAGGCAGGATTCAGTCTGGAGTTCAGCTCACAGAAGATTTCATCTGCAAACACTGCACAGAGACGGAGCCGCGTCCCCGAGTTTATCACCGAAGAGGAAGAAATGAGACGTGGTTACTGGAGGACATGTTGGCTTCTGTTAAAGAATCAATCAATCAATCAAAATTTATTTATATAGCACATTTTTAAGACCGAAGTGCTTTCCAGTAAAATCGCAGTACAAATAAAATCACACTAAAATATAAATTACAAATATATAAAATATAAGATAATTACATAATCTAAATACAGAGCCAGATGTAAATTACCCTAATTCGCCTTAAATGCCAGATCAAACAAATACGTTTTTAAACGTGATTTAAAAGACTGAATGGAATCTGACGCGCGAATATGAAGAGGGAGAGTATTCCATAGCCTGGGTGCAGCAACGGCAAAGGCACGGTCTCCTCTGGTCTTCAGCCGAGACCTAGGTTGCACCAAGAGCAGCTGGTGATGATCTTAGTGCTCTCTGAGGGCTGTACAGACAGAGGAGATCAGCTAAGTAGTCAGGGGCCATATTGTTTAAAATTTTATAAGTAAACAATAGAATTTTAAAATCAATTCGATATTTGATAGGAAGCCAGGATTCATTTTTATTCAGCTTTAAAATAAACTAAAGATATGATGGAAGCAAATTAAAATAAATACATTTTGTGCACTTTGTCAAAACTCACACTCTGAAACCTGTTGTTGCTCCACCAGACTTAGAAATATCATAAATGTGCTCCAGTGTGAGTCTGCTTGTTTTGCTCTGCAGGTTTCTGTCAGCGCTGAGAGAAAACCCGGCAGAACAGAACAAGGAGAGCAAATTTAATCAGTTACACTCTGTGAAGCTGAAAGTCTTCAGTTCATCCAGATGAAGACGTATGAAAGACTGACGACAAACTGAAACTAATTTTGGGCAACAGAAGTGAGCGAGCGCGTCTGTGCAGATTAGTATCTTTATCTAATCTTTAAACTTCTGAACCATTGAGGAACTCAGCGCTGACTCCATGTTGCTCTCAGCGGGCAGCCGAACATCATTTTCAACAAACTACTGAATGTTTTTGGCAACTTTGCAACATAAAAATAAAAGCTGCCATCACACGTGTTCACTCTAAAGCTGTGCTGTCGTCACTGAGAAAAGACTGAGACATTTAAGAAGCTGAAAACCATCAAACGTTTATCTTCGACACACGACTACACGACGCAGACGCTCTACAATCTGTCAAACCGATGAGTTGTTTTTGTTTAACGGGATGAGGCAGTGAGGGTTGAAAACGTCCACAACTTCCTTTTATGGAAGAAAACAACAAAAACGAATTGAATTGATTCATTTTAATGCAGAAATCAGCCAACTGTGTGGATATGCCCTTACTTTGGAAACCAAACAGGAAGTTGGTTTGAAGCTCGTATCGCGGACAAAACTTTTGAAAACAGCCTTGAACACAGACGCGTGCAGGTAAAGGTGAAAGTCGTGGATAAAAAGCTTCTACAGGAAGCGTTCCCGTCTCTGTACAGACTCATTCATGCTCCACACGAGTTTACAGGAAACACTCAACCTTTGATCTTTCTGCTCACCGACCCGTTGAAACCGCCCTAAATACACTCTTTACACCAGTTAATAAATAGATTTGCTTTAATACCTAAAACTGTACACACATATATCTGTTAAGTCTTTGTACACGCCGACCGTTTCACATCACGATGGGAAGCAGCTGCTTTCTGAGACGATGCGTTTGGTTAAAAAACACAGAAGTCGTTAAAACATCAGCAGAAACCCCGAAAAGAAGAAACGACACGTTCAAGTAAAACAGAATAAAAAAGATCCGCCTCACGGCGCACAAACCGAGCTGGAAAGCAGATCTGAGGGCGCAGCACAGGTGTTACTCAGGTATGTCACAAGAAGGTAATTAGCATTAGCAACAGCAGGCGTCGGGATTAGTCGGAGGCGTCCGGGCCGATCCGTCTGATTTCTGGGGAGAAAAGCGTCGCCGCAGGGTCACGCCCACAAAAGCAGCCACATATCTTACAACCCGTGAGTGAGTGAGGAGAACCTTCCAGGTGAGGTTTCCCAAAAAGTCGCTGTTAGCGCCGCTCAGGGTTTGGAACAGAAAGCAGCGTCTCGGAGGAGGAGGAGCCAAAGAAACCCCATCAGAGCTCAGGTGCAGCCAAACGGCCTCTGTTGTCCAGTGAAGGATTACTGCTCAGTCCCAGCAGGTGGCGCCCTCTCAGGTTAACCCCGCCCTCTCCACCTCATGGCGTGGACTCTGCAGAGCGCACTGAGGACCTTCATGTCCGGATGTTTGGGGCTGGAGCCAATCAGGCGCCGATTCTCTTTAATGTTGCTTCCCACCGAGCGCCAGGTCATCGCAGCAGCAGGGACGAGAACCTGATGGACCCAACTAGGGACGGCGACCGTGATGGGCCAAAGTTCCTGCCTGTGTGGGCGTGGCTCAGGTGGAGCACATTAAAGGCGGGGACAGATCCAGGACTGTCCTCGCCGCCGCTCAGCTCAGGACGGACAGACTAACAAACGGAGGTCGTGTGAAGGTTAAACTTGGCCGCCATCACCTCCCCGTCCTGACTCGTCTCCGGCGTCTCGGGTTTCTTCTGAGCGTCCGACAGAAAGAAGGCACGTTACGATGAGACGTCTGCGGCGAGCCCGGAGCTGTTCGAGGGAGAACGCACGCCGCGGCCTCCCGCGTGATAACTTCTTCCCCTCACTCAGAGGTCAGTTTGTTTTGTGGATCCGGGCCAGCCCGAGTCCAGCAGGGGGCGGGGCTTAACATGAGAAGAATCTTAAAGGGGGGGGCGTGGGGGGGATTGAGTGGGGTCACCTTCTGCAGAGGAAGCGACCTCCATCTGTCCAAAAATAAGAACCCCACCGAGAACGTCGGGGCGGTCAGCTGACCACATTCAGGTCATACGAAGACTTTGGCGAGCGCGTCGGCCCCGGCGCTGCCGATGTAGCACTTGGTGGGATGGAACGCCACGTCGTGGATGGACTCCTCGAACTTCTTACGATGTGCTGTGAACTCCTGGATGCAGGTTTTACTCTCCATGTTCCACAGACGGATCGAGCAGTCGTGACCTGACGGGAAGAGAGACAGCCAATCAGCACAGAGCAGCGACTGTAAATAAAGATGGAGGCCGTTACAGGACAAACAAACGATTGTTATTGTTGTTACATGGATACGTTTGTGTTTTTCATCATAAACAGACACTTCCTGGTTTCCTGATGCTATGATTGGCTCGGCTGTGAGAACAGCGCGTTTTACTCCAGAGCTCTTAGAGTGAAAATAATAAATACAGGAAGTACCCGTAGGCTCTTTATAAAGTCTGATAATATTATGGGATGTGCCAGCTGGCGTGCGCTCGGATACTTACTTCCTGACATGAGGTAAAGGCCGTTTGGATCCACAGCGAGACTGGTGACAGCGTCCAGGTGGGCGACCATGGCGTGGATGAGCTTACCTTCAGTTTGAAACACGGTTAAAGTTTAAATTTGATCTGCGAGGCAACGAAAGAAGCGAAGCTGAGGACACGGCGTACCTGTGTTGTTATCGAAGAACTGGATGTGGCGGTCCTCCTGAGCGGTGATGGTGATCGGCAGCGTGGGATGGCTCAGCACTTTGTTGATCTTGCAGGGAGCTTCTGCGTGGAGGCGGGCGTGAGGAGGAAGGAGAACATTAGCAGTAAATACGTGTAAGCGTCAGCGCATCAGCTCGGCCTGCGGACGGCGCCGTGACACCGACGACGCTTCGAAACGGCAGCAGAATTAACCGGCAGACGCACAAATGAAAGTCTCTGCGAACTTCTCGTCGACACATCTGAAGCCTGCTTCATCCTGCTCATTGGTGAACGTGATTTAGAGGCGGAGCTCTGCAAACGCCGTTGGGACGCAGAGTGACGAGCAAAACAAACGTCGTAAACTCAGATTTTACTCACAGCAGAAAACGGAGCGGAGACATTTTTAGAAAGAGACGGCCGGAGGAGCAGCAGCTGATCGGGTGTCAGCAGGTCGGTCACGTGATCGGGGATAAACAGACTCACGCGGACGGTTCGCTTCCTCAGTTTGAACATGTGACGTGTTTCTGTCGTGAGTAAAATGTCTGTTTTTATTCACGCTCTTTGTTCTCGGGTTGTAAATACTCGCCGAGCTCGTGGTCGTACCTGGAGGACCGGCCGACTCCAGCTTCAGGACGAGCTGCTGCGTCTCCATGTTGAAGAGTCCGATGTGTCCGGTGTCGAAGGACGTCACCATGTGAGCCGGCTCGCTGCTCACCAGGTCGACCGAGGTCGGGACTCCGAGCTCTGAGAGAGAGGCAGAGACTCAGCACAGCGCCACTTAAGCTCCTCCTCCTCGAGGAGTAACTAAAGGGACATAAAACTGCACCTCCTTGAAGCTGCGGTGCAGATGTTCTCACAGATGTTCTCTTACCTCCTCGCTCGTTGAAAACAGCGAGAGACGGCGAGGTGTCGGCGGCGCTCCACAGCCGCACCGTCCCGTCGGCCGAGCAGGAGAGGAGGCGGCGGTGAGCCGAGCTGTAGACCACACCCCACACCGCGTCCGTGTGACCGCACAGCGCCCCCCGCAGGACGGACGGCTCTGCAGAGGAAACGAGAGCAAATCCTCACGTGAAGATGTGAACACAGAGCACGACGAAGGCGTGTGCTGGGAGGAGCCGGGTCGTACCATACGAGTCGTAGGGGTCGATGTTGGGGTTGGGGGTGTTCCAGCTCTGAATGGTGCCGTCTACGCCCCCGCTGAAGCACTGCTCGCCGCTCGAGCTCATGGTGACGCACAACACGGCTCCGCTACAGGACGAAATCAGAATGACAGACACTTACGTTGGTTTTATGACCGCATGAACGGAGTCGGGCTGAAGGTGGGCGGTGCTGGGAACGCTCCCACGCTCACCTGTGGGCTCGGAATGTGTAGATGGGCTCCACGTCCAACGCCGCGCACCTGAGGACCGAAGCAGAGGAGTGAGACCGCCGGCTTCTAAAAGCCGTGTTCGTTTGTCCTGTAACATCAGCTCAGGCTGCGGACTGCACGATGCCACAGAAGCCCCGCCCAACTGCAGTTTAAACCTTCTGTTTGTGAGGGGCAGCCAATCAGAGGAAAGTTTGCTTAAAGGGAGAGGAGCTACAACGGCTCGTTTCAGAGAGGGGATAAACCGAGGCTCAGGATGATAATCAGAGGAGGATTATTTTGAGGAATCATGCAAAGCTACGTTAGCAGAGTCTACATTTGGATCCACGAGCCAGGCCAGCAGTCCCTCTCAGAGCGTTTTCAACTTCAGGGGCGGTATCTCGCTCAGGGGGACCGCCGCCGTTCAGTGGAGTCGAACCCCGACCTTCCGATCATGGGGCCACTGTACACAACCACTCTGCCTACTGAGCTGTCCCTGCCCTGTTTCATAGAATACGTGTGTGATGGCAAAACGTGGAGTCTCACTTCTTGGCGGGCGCCGTCTTCTGGAGGTTCCACAGTTTGAGGGTGTGATCCTCTGAGGCGGTGACCAGAACCGGCTCCACCGGGTGGAAGGCCAGACTGCGCACCGAGTCAAAGTGGCTCCGCAGGGTAAACTTCGGGTTCCACGTCTTCCTCAGTGCATCTTTGTTGTTGGCGATCTGAGGGAGGGAAAAGGTCTCATTAAGCTCTCTGATAGGTTAGAATCAGCTGTGGGGGCGGGGCTCTATGTCAGGGTGCAGGAGCACTGTGGAAACACTCCTTGAATATTCAAAACAAAACAAACCACGAGTGGAATCAGGTTTTACTCGCTGCTCTTCATCTTTTCTTTCTGGGATTATGTCCACGAGGGGGCGTGGCCTGAAGCAGCCTGTGACAGGTTAACGTTACTCACGTCGTACATCAGGCCCTCGGCCTCGTTAGCGACGGTCAGTCCGGCCAGCTCTCCCAATCCGAGCTCGTTAGAAACCGCCTCGTCCACTCTGCCCAGAATGAACGACTTCCCCGACGACGGCAGGAACGTCATCGCCTCTGCAGGACGGAAACAGGAAACGTTTGAACATTCACGTCACTCACATGACCGCTGAGCCGAGACGGAGGGAGGGCTACCGTCATCGGGGCGTCCGACTTCGTGCTCGTTCAGCCTGGGCACGCTCGACCGAGAGGGGGGCGTCACGGCCGGCTGCATGGAGGGCAGGTCCTCGGCGTCCCGCAGGTTAGCCAGCATGTCCTGCAGCTTAGACCGGTTTGGTCCTGCAGGAGGAAGAAGAGAGACGAGAGAGGATGAGGAGGGGACAGGAAGCCCGATGAAGGCGGGAGAACAATGATGTTTGGAGGGAGAGATGAAAAATAAAACGTGAAACGTGAAGATGGAAAGAAGGAGCAGCAGCGGCTCTGCGAGGCATCGATGGCAAACCAAAGCAGAGAAACAAAGAAGACGAGCGAAGAGCAGGAAGGACAGAAACCTGGCGGACAGACGGCGACACGATGCAGGCGAGTCGCTGCCATCGCAACACGAGCACGGACGGATTCAATCTGATGATGGTTTCATAAGGATCAGGCCGTGCGAGGCGCCGGAAACCAACAGGAAGTAAAAAAACCTGAAGATAACCTAAAGAACATAACCTGACGCAAACCAGGGCGCAGTTTCCACAGCGCAATAAAGTTTCCTACAAATCATCTCAGTTTGAAAAGCACACTGATGGTCCAGCTGTGAAGGAGGACACTGTGGTATCTGCACATCTGGACGGCGTGAGCATTAAAGCGGCTCAGGTCTTACAACCTTCCACTCCACTGTTCACTCACGCTCCAGCACAACCAGAGCGCCACGCCTCAGTGACTGCAGTTCCTCTAACATGCAGCAGAGGCAGCAGTGAGTCAGTCCCCACAGACTCGTGTTCAAACTTTACAGCAGAAACAAACGTGTTTACAGCCTGATACAAACTGTTTGATCTCTCTGTAACCTGATAACTCATTTAAAGTTTGCATTATGAGGGGCGTGGCCTCTTTGACTGTCACCTGCAGCTGCTAGCTGTCTGCTAGACTTCACCTCAGCTAACTGTCATCCCTCGACTGTTGTATACAGCCTCCTAACTGACCCTTGAAACGGTTGGATGCTACGACAGATTCATTCAGAAAATCAAACAGAGGGTGGAGGCGAATCCTCCAATGAGATTTCCCAAATAACAAAGCTGCCATCGAACATGTGACACACAGAGGACCAGTGATGGGACTGAGGCGATGTGAGGAGGGAAAACTTAGAGGTGGAAAAGAGAATAAATAGTTTATTATTACAGGAAGAGGGTGAGGAGAACAAAAGGTAAAGAGGGTGAGGAGGGAGGATGAAGCACAGGCCTGCAGCACGACTTACTCTTCACCCCCTTCTTGCCCTTGCGTTCCTTCCTGTACTGCTCCTTGAGCTGGGCTATCAGCCCCTGGTCCACATCCCAGGCCATTTCACCCAGAGGAGACTGCTCTTCCTTCTCTGCAGGACGGAGGGGAGGAGGCAGGGAGGAGGGGAGGGAGGAGAAGGGAGGGAGGGGAGGCAGAAACATGTTGTGAGTGTCTGGATGCAGTACAGTTCAAATCCATCCCTGAGGGAGACGTGATGATGAGCGAGGAACCTCAGACAGACGGGGGTAGCCCAGCTACGCTGTCGCTTTCATCTGCCAGCTGACCTCGCTCTACGGCGCCCCCTGTGCTTTACATGCACGTGTGCAGTCCCTCCCTCCTGTGAAACCTCGGCTAACCGCGTCCCGCGGAAACACGACGACGGCTGCAGATGCAGCGAGGTGAGCGCCTCCTACAGGCGAGAAGGATGCAAAGATTCCTCCTGTACCATTCATCCCAGATAACCTCAACCAAAGACGAAGGCGACCTCACAGAATCTGCTCACCGTCTTACATCAACTTTAAAAATGTGCTGAATCTGTGTCTGTACGAGCGGGTCCAGGATTAACGATGTTTTTGTCCCTCGCAGAAAACACTCAGACCCAGAAGGAATCAGCTGGACGCTTCGTCCCACGTGAAGCTGAAAGCGTGAACGCGCTTTTTTCACATTTCCTCCAGTGAATCATCAGAGAAATCAAACATTCACATCGTGATGCAGCGAGTTGATCTGCGCCGTCTGAACAGCTTAAAGCTGTTTTTCACGCTCAAGTCATGAGACAAAGGATGCTTTCTGTAAAAAACCATGAGAGTCGAGACGCAGTCAGTTTATTCTGTTTCCTGTTAATCCTGCAGTTATTCACCTTCTTCTGTTCATGAGCTTCTACATTTTAAACAGTAAACCGGCTGTTCAGACTCTGCCTCTCCTCCGCTGTAGGGGGCGCAGTTCCACAGGTGTAGAAGCAGTCTGATGGGGACAAGCATTATCTGTACAAGGTCAAAGGGCACACCAGGCTCCACAGATAAGCGTGCAGTGACGGAAGCTGCCATGGTAACGGCGAGCTGAATGAAAGGTGAGGGGACGATGGAGCTGAGACGGGCAGCTCCATCATAACCGAGCAGCCAAACGGGTTTTATCTGCGCTCGGCTGCTGTAATATCTCAGTGTGAAGGCGGAGGCAGCGTCACAGACCGCACTTCAAGATGGAAACGCCGTTAAAGCGGAGACGAAGCTCCGCGCTGCGGCCTTTCACGCCGTGAGCACACAGCACTGCGGTGAGACCCGCTGCACTGAGTCAGCGCTCCTTTACTATCTCGACTCGAGTGTTGAATCACCGAGCGCGTGGGGAGCTCTCCGTCATTGGCCGAATGACACTGGACCGGTTGCTAAGCAACAGCAGAAAAAGGGTTTCTTTATGTAAACACAGAGGACGGCGGGTCAGGACGAGCTTCGGTTTCTTTTACCTTCACGAAAAAGACGTCTGCAAAAAAGAGCTGAAACGTAACTTTATTACAAACTCGTTTAAAAACGATCAGAATTAAACTCACAGCTTTCACAGGTGCTGCACGGATGCTTGCCAGAACAAAGACACTTCCTGTTTGCTCTTTCTAACCTCACTCCTCCAACTTATTAACATTAAGAAAAGTTTCTAAAGGTCAAGTTTTCCTCAAATCTGCCAGTGACCTGCAGGTCGCTGTAGACAGGAAACTGGAGTTCCACAGGGCGCGACTCCGGGTCCTCCTGCATTCACGCTCTGAACTCTGGAGTCGTCTTTTACCACTGTGGTTAAAGCTTCACTCGCTAACGTTCTGATGCTCTGAAACCCATCGGGCGACTCACCCCACTCGCCGCTGTCATCCCCGCTCCTTGACTCGGGCGATCCGTCCAGCTCGTCTGGACTCGCCAAGAAATCAAAACCCTTCAGCGCCTCCTCCGTGTCCAGGTCATCGCTGAGGTCAGAGGTCGTGGAAGACGGCGTTGATGAGTGTTTCTTTCTCACCATCTGTGCAAAGGTAAAGCCACGTTTTTAGAGCTGATGCTTACAGGTTTTAAGTTTTACACGTGCCCGGAGGTCACGCAGCGGCCACCGGGAGAAACGTGACTGCTGTCAGTCGGCGCGTCAAAGCGGCTACAAGGAGGAAACCGTCCTGCAGTCGCTTTGGTTGGCAGCAGATTGCCGTGGTCGTGGGCACAGAAGACACCGACGAATCTGTAAATATTTGCCATTTGAGGACATTCGCCTTCAAAGTAAAAGCTTTGTCTTACTGCTGAAGCACACACGTTTCAAAAGGCTCAGCTTTTACTCTGAAGGCGAGCGCTCGCAGATATGCAGCCCAAGCAATGATGGTGGAGATGATGGAGTTCCAGGCTGGGCAGCACCTGCAGCACCCACACGAGCTCCATAAATGCTTCTTATGACGACAATATTATTACTTAAAAATCACACGTGGTCTCAGTTTGGACATGAAAAACATAATCGTGCCGTTTCCAGATTTTTACAGACTGAAAGCTGTGGTTTACTCGCGTTTGTAAGATAAGGAACATCCTAATGACATTCCTGTGCTCTCCGTTACAGACGAAGCAGTCAGCACACAGGAACACGTTCCTCACAGTGAGTGGGCTTCATCGGGGCCTGCAGGCACAGCCACACAGAGACCCTGTGGAAACTGGGAATGCACACTTTCATCCACAGTTACAGAGAGTGAAAATAATCTCATACATTAAGAAAAAGTGAAATAACGGGAGTGTGTCAGCCTCTTACTGCAGCCAGGTCCAGGATGGTTTTGTCCCTCCCTTCGCTGTCCTCGTCCTCGTCCTCGTCGCTGAACTCTGCTGCGGCGCTCTCGATGAACTTGAAGGCCTCCAGCACGGTGGCCGAGTCGGACACGTCGGGCTTACTGCGGGAGAAACGGGGTTTTGTAACGACGCACGCTTTGCTGTGTGGCGTTTTTATTTCACCTCCTGGCGTCGTACCTGACCATGCCGCTGTCCTTCAGCGAGGACGGCTCGGTGCCGTTGACCATCGGCTCAGTTTTCTTGTCTGACGGTTTGTCTCCCGTGTCTCCGGCAAGACCGAGCAGCGCCCTCACCCTCTGAGACTTCACATCCAGGATGGTGTCCGTGTATCCGACCTCCTGTAGGTACCTGAGCCGGAGACAGGACACGAGGTCAGCGAGAGCTTCTGAGGGAGCGACAGCTGATCAGCGACAGCAGCCACGAGGTTAACGTGGCTGATCTCAGCTGATCTGTACGAGACGACCAACAGCTCTCTAAAACAACTGAACGGTAGCTGAACCCAAACTGCTGTAGATCGAGAGGCTACGGTAACGTTTAGCTGAGCTATGAAAGGTGACAGTAACAGCGCGAACAGACGTCCATATTTTAAGCCTTAAACTTAAACATCAGGCTGCAAACATGTTTATTTCTGCCTTAAGGATTTAATATGAGAGCCTGCGGGGGCTGACTCACTGCTGCCTCTGGTGGACGTTAGAGGAACTGTAGCTTCGGCTTACTTTGTTCCCCTGCAGCCACATCTCCTAAAGAAACACCGCAGGTGCAAACAGATGTACCACAGCTGGAGGTCTCCAGAGTAACCCAGCTGTGAGAAGGGGTCGAGGGTCATCCCACCTCACCTGTACCTGCAGGACTGCAGGTTGGACTAACAAACCAGCTCGTCAAGAAGATTAGGAGTGAAAAAAAGTCCTCCTGATCTTTAGAGGACTCCTGAATACCGAGTGTCCTCCTGCAGCAGCCGTGCCTCGCTGTTCCCACTGACCGAACACAAGTTTATGAACAGAGCAGCTTCTTTAAAGGGCAGCAGCAGTTTCCAACACCAGGCCGACACAGAGCGGGTCAGGGTGTGCGAGCATACAAACTGGAAGAACACACCTGACTGTGCTCGAGCAGCTCTGAACAACCTCTGATTTCATTTATTTGTCAGATTTCAAATCTGCAGTCAAAGCTGCGTCTGCTGCAGGGGGAGAGAGGATGTTAGTCGAGTTGCAGTCTGTTCTGGAGGACCTTAGAGTATCTTAAGAAAGATGCTGCCTGTGGTGGAAGCAAACCTCTTTGTACTTACTGAGTCCGAATTGAACAAACCGCTCGGGCGAAGCTCCTCTAAACTCAAAAAGTTCCAATTTAAGTCTCCGTACTGCACCGAGCCTCGACCCCGCTGACCTGGGAGCAGCGCTGCAGTCTGGCCTGAATAACGCCCAGTGTGTTTCTCACACAGTTCAGCCTCCCTCCCTCCCATCTGTACCAGCCTCTCCGATCGCAGGACGTCTTGATGCCTCACACAATCCTCCATTCACTGTCACCACAAACACTCACACATACACACACAGAGCTGCACACACGCACGAGTCTGAGGAGCTAACAGAAGCGTCGGAGCGGTCCGATCACGCCCCGCGGCCCCCAAAACGCCGAGTTCTGCAGAGACACGGCGCCACCTGCTGGTGAAGACAGTGACGAGGATGCACCGTCAGGTTTCTCCAGCACGATCAGAGGACTTTAACTTTCACTGTTTTCGCCTGTGAGCCAAACTGACTCGTGCTGAAAAGGTTTTAACGCAGATTTATGGAGCGGCTGCGTAATATTTCAGACAGTGAACGCATCACCACCTGCAGGCAGATCTAGTTCCTGTTTGTCTTTGGTGATGAAATGTTCTTATAGTCTCTCAGTGAAAGTACACACACACA